ACTTTCCAAAGGGAAAACTAATAAAAACGTATATACCATAGCCATCAACCCTACGCGAATGTATACAAGCCTTCCATAAACAAAACAAACTTAAATTTTTTAGGTTAGTTTGGGTTGGGAGCGTAAAAATAAGACGTCCTAGTAGTAAGAGAGACGAAGAAACTGGCAACAGTATTTCTACAGGCACGGAAAAATGTAAACAATAATAAATGGAAACTTATAAAAACTCAATTGTTTAAAAATCAGAAATAAATTAAGTATTGCAAGAAAACTCTGTAAGTATGTAGGGATTATAATACTCGACTTTGACCACTTGGTTCATTGAACAACTGTCTTGGAAATGCTAAGGGCCTTAAAAGGCCCAAAACTCTTTAAAAAACCCTGTTTAGTTGTTGTTTGCGCCCTAATCTTCCTGGCTGCTACATACTACACCATACAAATAGGCGAGGTGAGTTAGTTCGATTCAACAATCCGCTTTCCCTAAGCATAGTGTTGCAGCCTTCATTCAACCAGAGCAGTTGTCCATACTCCGAACCCATAGACATAGTATACACGTGGGTAAACGGGTCTGATCAACAGTTTATCCAAGAAATGCACAAGTACATGCAGGCAAAGGCAAACACTGATTCATCCAAGAAGCGATTTGAGGACAAAAACGAGCTGAGGTTCTCTTTAAGGTACCTCCTACTTGCAGTGTTAGTATCAGGGTTGTTTGGATCGAGGCAATTTCAGGTCTTTGGAAAAATTCGCGCCCTGGATCAATCACGTTTACTTGGTGACAAACGGACAAATCCCCTACTGGCTAAACCTCGACTACCAGAAAGTCACTTTAATAACTCACGACATGATTTTCAAAAATAGTAGCAACTTGCCCACATTTTCCAGTCCAGCCATTGAAAGCAACTTGCACAGGTAACGACTCACTCAGCCAGCAAATGAAAGACAAACGAGGCCGTTATTTAGAATTCCAGGCCTCTCAAAGCGTTTTATATACTTCAATGATGATATTTTCTTGGGCAAGCCCTTGTATCTGGAGGACCTGTACAGTCAAAGCACGGGGTTCTCGGTCTTTTTGGCGTATGCTTTACCCAACTGCGCCCCACGGTGCCCTTGGTTGTACGTGGGCGATGGACAGTGTGATCTGAGCTGCAACGTGCGCAATTGCCAATTCGATGCTGGAGATTGCATTGAGGTAATTTGCACACCAACATGCAAACGCAGTCTTAACTAGTGATTTTCAGCAAAAGGCTCGCACTTGGACTAAAGCCTCAGACCTATCACTGATGAATACCACACAAAGAACAGTGAATGCAACCACAAGTACCAGTGAAAATCGGTTTTTCCACACAGGGGACACAGGACCAATAGCTCGACTAGTCATCGAGCATAATAAAAAAGTGCTGCTGCAGAACAAGAAGCTGGACAGAAAAAGGCGTAATTTGGCGAAGGTAGCTTGTGGGTAATTAATCGGCGCTAAGGGATTATCGCACGGGTTTTAGCAGCTGAACCCAGCTTATGCCGAGGCAATGCAGTTTTCCAAGACCATCGACGGGTTCCTGACGTCACTCCAGTACACCCAAAGAGTGTTCAACAGAAAGTTTGGGTTGAAGATGCGGTATGTGCCAGCTCATGCCCCTATCCTAATTGACAGGCAAGTTCCAAGAAAATTGCAAGATTGAAAAGAAAAAATGGAATCCTTTCAGGGACATCATGCAAGAATTGGAGCGCACTTTTTCAAGAGAGTTCGAAATAACAGAGGGAAATCGGTTCAGGCACGACGACGATATGCAATTTGGCTTCAGTTATTATTACTTCCTCATGTCTGAAACGACCACCAAGTCGACGAGCGAAATATTTGATGATTTTGATACGGACCGCTCAGGGTAAGGGGGGTGTTCAGTGCTGTTTAGGGCTAAGTTGAATACTTGCAGGTCTTGGTCGGACAGGGAAATTCGCAACTTGCTCACCAAGCTTCATAAGCTGCCGCTTACCTATGAGACTGTGGATCATTTCGAAGCAATACTGATGAATTGCAGTGAATTAAATACATATCCTCCAGTGCCTACTCCTGCCCATGAGCGATATGTTGACTCCAAGCTGGTGAGAATGCACTTAACGGCTTTCACCTTGACGAAAGATGGTGCTACTTTCAGCCAACAATAAGTAAAGATTTGGTGGTTCAGTGCCCCATGTTGGACGTGCTGTTGAGCGAAAAGTTGGGGAAAGTGCCCAAGTATCCGTACAAAGTGATCAAGAATGCCGAAACTAGCTGGGCAACATTTAGGATGCTAATTTCCAACATTACTAACGTTGTGCACAACTTAGATGAAATCAGGAGTAAGCTTACGTAGGTCATCCATCTGGACGAAGCACTAATGAGTTGAAAAGCACATGTTTTTAGGAAATTCGTGTGTCTGAACGACAATCTTATGGAGTGGAAGCTAGACGAGAACGAGCTTATTAAGGCCCTTCTCTATGATTTCTATCTGTCCCTGTTTCCCCATCCCAGTCAGTTTGAACATCCCGATCATTCCAGAAATCGGTTTCTACACATGGATCAATTAGGGAAGTGGACACACAACCACTATGTGGTAAAAATCATTCTGACTTTGGCCATTATTTCGCTGATCTTCATCACACTTTTCAACACTCTGAAAAGGGGATGTTGTAAGGTGCTCAATGAATATTTTTTCTGACTGAGCGAATGGCCAGAAAAGGCGGATCATTTTCTGTTTAAGGCGCTATTCTTCTTTAAATGGTCTTTACATTAGAAAAATCGTTACTAGCATTCAATATTTCTTACCTTCAAAAATACATCTGCCTCAAGTCGTCAACTGCAACTGAATTTTTATTTCACAAACTCACTTTTTATCAATCAAAACCAATAATATACGCAGCGACTATGTTTTGTTTTCCCCCAATCTCCAGCACCATCTCAAAGGAACATTTCAACATGGCATCCGGGGACAATGTAGAGCCCTACAGTAATCAAATTTTCACGACGAAAGACCACAGATCATAGAGTAACCTCTATGATCTGTGCCAAAGACATTGCTCGATTTTCCTAACCTGTGATTCTAACCAAACTTTCGGTTTGTTTTCGTTGCTTCATGTCGCGTGTTCAGGAACATTTTCGATAAACTGTGCGGTTTTCAATTGAAAATGGACGCTTACGACATATTTAAAAAGTTAACGAAAGGCCTGAACATCCGTAGAACGGATTCCGCCGCGCGAAAAGTGGGAACAGCACATTTTCAGGAAGCCGCCTCCGATGTTAAGCTGGAAGTGAAGCAGGAGCCACTAAAGAAAGCCGACCGTCCGAAGGACGACCCGATAACGCTGCTGAGCAGCCTCAGAAAGCAAGGCAGCGAGGAGCCGAGGGGCAAGAAGCGAAAGCTGCTGGATGAGGAGCAGCTGCAGAAGAAGAAGCTGCTGTTGGAGCAAGAAGAGGTCTGTTGTCGCCATATGTAAACGTGCTTGGTCTATATTCTTGTCCAATTCTAGGTCAATCACTATAGAAATATTCACAACATTACCGTGGTGGGTAGGAAAGTGCCAGCGCCAGCTAGAACCTTCTCTGACCTTAAAGTAAAGGAAAGCACCATCGAAAACCTAAGAAAATGCGGCTACGAGGATCCGACCCCTATTCAGAAACAAGCAATGCCCATAATGCTACAAGTACGCTACAGCAAAGAAGTAATCTTAAGGAAACCGTCCAATTTTGTATTGTTACAGGGCAGGCATCTGTTGGCTTGCGCCCCAACAGGCTCGGGAAAAACTGCAGCTTTCCTCGTGCCGATTATCGAGGCCCTGAAGGAGCCGCAAAAGCAAGGCTTCAGAGCTTTAATTCTGTGCCCCACGCGCGAACTGGCCAGTCAAACGCAGAGGGAATGCGTGCGATTGTCAGAGGGCATAGGCTTCAGAATTCACATTATTGGCAAGGTTAACAAAGCTCTCACTCAGTATGGGGCCAAAAGTAACAAGAAGTATGGTGAGTTGACTGTTGAGCCCCCTCAAGTAGCCCTTGAGAACAACTAAGACTTTTTCAGATATTCTGATCACCACTCCGAACCGGTTGTGTTTTTTGTTGAAGCAGGACCCTCCAGCCATTCAATTGTCCAAGTAAGTTTGCAAGAAGTCAGTTTGTACAACATTTTAAAGCTGGTTATTGCCGACGTAAATGAGCACCTGCCCGATTAGTGACTGAGGACCCTTAAGTATTTTAAAATCAGTTCTTTCACAGTGTCGTCTTGTTGAAGTGAAAGCCCCGATCGCTTGGCTGCTCCTGAAAAATAGGGTAACCGTAAACGTGTTTCCTTTTATTAACGGGGTGCAATTAAGCAGTCGTTTTCCAAATTATCTACGGAAAGTTCATTGGGCCAAAAACGGAGCCATTGCGGTCGCAACAGCAATTTAAGTAATTGCATTTCCGCTTTGCAGTTCTTTGGATAAACCGTTCGCCTTTATTAAGGTTTGTCGGAAGGCTGGATAAAACGTGCGACGACACTTCGGGACCATTTATTGGGGCGACAAATGAGGCCCATTTTAAAGTGCCAGTTTAAATCAAATTGATGTCTTGCCGCTATTAGTTTGAAAGAAATCGTACATTTCCCCGTCTGATTTGTCTGTGTTTCACCGTTGATTTCCGCTCGGAAAGTTCATCAGTAATAACATTAATATGTTTTTGGCAGCGTTCAATGGCTGGTGATTGATGAGGCGGACAAACTGTTCGAAGAGGGAAGCAGGAGCTTCAGGGACCAGCTGGACCAAATTCTCCAGGCATGCAGCAGCAGCGACCGGAAAGTTGCTATGTTTAGTGCAACCCACACTCCTGTAGTTGCTAAATGGTGTGTCCATAACATGCCTGGACTGCTCCGAGTCACCGTTGGCCAGAGGTAAGTCCAGATCGAGCTGAGATCCTTATACGCAACAACCTGTCAGTCACAAGTGTTGATAAAAAACGATCAGGACGCTTTTTCTGAGCCTTTGTATCGTAAAACTAATTGAAAAGTTTCGCACCATACCGTGACGCGAAATTAATTGATTCACAATGTTCCTGTAATAACAGGGATAATACGGCGCCGTACGCGGATCTTATGGGATTGTGGATCGACAAGGAATTAAATGCGAATTAATGGTTTATATGGCAAAAACAGGTGCGACTATGCTGAGCAAACGCTACGTTTCATTCAAAGCGAACTTATTGCCGAAAAGCGGGCGTCTACATCACGTTTTCCTTAAGCTCGAGCCCCGACTTCAATTGCCAAACAGATCATGTTCCCATCCATGCAAAGAAGTCCATTAATTCGATATGCTGCTGTGCCGCAGAGCCCCAAATTGAGCACTATTGATTACTAAAGGCTTCATAATTGGCTTCAATTAGGGCAAAGCGCCCTTTTTTGTAACTTTCGCCACTGCTTTATTTTTGAAATGATCTGTTGATGTGCACAGAAACTCAGGGGCGGATCCAGTTTTAAATTCAGGGGGGGGGTTATGGAGAAAAAAATACAGTCTTCTGTTGTTTATGAAACTAGAAAAATGATCGTCGTTTTGTGCAAGGGTGGAGCAAGATTATTGCAAAATTTCATGTTTTCCGTCCCGTTTTGCATGTTTCTCGGAAGCAAAATGAGCAAGAACGCTCGTTTTTACATCAT